CACATTCCTTCAGTTTTCGGTCTTTCTTGTTCTTTGCTTGAAGTTTGTGATGAGAATTTGTAGTGAAAGGTCAATACTAAGCTACCTTTTCTTAGATGATAAAGGAATCAGATTTATACACTTTATAATCTCATAAGGAGGGTTGTAACATCGAGGTAAAATAACATCCTACTCATTTATCAGGAGCTGAAATTCCTTGTTATAAAACACCTGAAATATGGCCATGTGCCATGGTGCTAAATCTTTATGAGCAAATAATGACCACTCTTTCTGTCTCCATGGAAACATTCCTTATGTTTTGTAGATTCTGTAGTTTTCCCCCCTCTTCTACCTCAAAATTGCTTTGGTTGTTAAAGAAATTGAAGATGCTTTGTGACCTTGAGGCAGGTTTTAAGTAATAATTATGAGGGTTGTAGTGTTCTAACAGAAAATATTGGTGAAGTTTGATATCCAGTAGATCGACTGCTCACCATGTCAGCCTGGTGTCAAGATAATGCTGCTGGGTGGGAGATAAGGATAAATAACTGCAACATGATGCCATAGTGCTAGACATAACTGCTGTAAACTGCCACTGCAGACATCGTAGCAATAAGACTGAAAAATTGTTAAAGCTACATTAATAATCCAAAACACACATACATACACACCAGTACATTCAGGTGGGGACAGTTGACAGATGAAATGTATAACCAAGCATAAGACAGCTAATCCTGCTCATGCACAGCTAAATGTAGTGAAGAGAAACCATGAGGGACCTTTCATTTGTACACAACATGCAAAATGCAGAAAAAAGATATTTGTTTAACTAAAATGGGCATTCTCTTAATGCTTTTCAACTTTTGAAAATTGAAGAATGTAGGTCGTCTTTGTTCTTTTCGTTTTGAAATATTTCTTGCACATAAATATATGTTGCTGATAATTCTTAGGACTATTCCATTTAAACATACATGGTACCCAGGGTAGGCATTTTTCAAAAAATGTATACCAGGGTACTTTGATTTCACAAAATTCATATTAAAATGATCAGAAATTTTTCAGTTGCATCTGTGAGTGGGTACTAAACTTTAAAATAGCCTTCCCTGGGTCCCAGGTATGTTTTTTTTTAACAGCCATCATGAAATTGTCCTGTCTGATGTTGTATTCTTGTGATATAAAAACCTTTATATATATAGTACTTCAACACTTTCATTTTGCATTTTTCAAGTAAATGAAAATCTACAAACTGGTTGAATTATCATTCTGAGAGTTTTGAAACTTGATACCCATAAAGTGAGGTGTCCATGTTAGCAGGGCAACTGAAGTTTTGCATTTCATAACTCATTGTGCTTTTCTTGTTGTATTATCAGAGAGATCATTGGCTGTGATATGTAAAACTTGGTTTGATATGTCAGTAGTAGGGGCAGTTTTGTGATGTATATTAAATCGGACTTTAAAAGGAATTAAGATAGTACAAGAATCCACCTGGCTTTTGCAATACTGGGTTTTTCCCTACCAGTTTGTTCCTAATATATAAATATTAATACACCCAACCCTTGTGTTTCATAAATAATACCCAAAGGGGAGGGGGTAGACATTTAGTAGAGCTCAATGAAAGCTACAGATGTTCTTTTGATGTACTCTTGTAAGGACTATAAGTACATCTGGGGCTCTTTTTGACACTGAATTCAGTCATTGTAATACAAGCAGAGTTCAGTGATCAATCAACACATTTTCCCCATTCAGTAGCTGGTTGAAGTAGGACTGTTAAGTATTTTAACTTGATGCCCAGATACTGTCAGTGACTTGAGTGGTTTATACATTTATGTTATACATTCTAATAGGTAAGCAACAGCAGAGTGCTGTAGATTTTTTGTAATTATGCATCAGAAGCAGATTGGTATTGAAAAGCATAGGTCTTGTACTGTCTTTTAAAATTTGCTTTTGGAATGATAGGTACCTGGCCCAGCCACCCAGACCATTCGGGTTTTCAGTACCCAGTAAAAAGTGACCTGGCCAGGAGTTTCCAGCCAGGTACCCAGACCTGGTACATGGCAATGGGTTAGCACCTACCCTTGATCCGCATCCCAACCTTGCAAACGTAGGAGAATGAAGTCATTTTGTTTATTTCTCTCTCACATATGCATACACACACTTCTCAGTATTGCCAAATAAGGATCATTCATGGAACGTTTCAAAAGGCTGCAAAGAGTACAAGATTGTTAGAAACTACATCTTTACTTGCAAAAAAAAAAATGTAGGTTTCCATGTAATTTAACAAGGGATTCAGAGATGATAAAGGGGTTCATTAGCTCATGTTCTCAAAGTTGAGAACTGTTGTACTACCCTGGTGTCTGCATTTTGGATGCTCTTGTTAATGAGGGATACAAAATTTATGTATGTTTGTACATTCCTGGCTTCATTCTAGGTTTAGCTCCAGTCTTTTGTTTTACACCGTAGATACTGTTATACCAGGAATAATGTACTATGGTGAGAAGATGCATCTTAAGTACTAAACCATTATCATAAAGGAAGGTCACAGTGACCAATATTTCATGCTAAACTGACTGGTTAAATTTTGCATTTTCGTTGTTTATTTTCTTGAGCATTGTTTATGGTAGAACCATCATACCAGATAATATATTACTACCATGACTGACATTCACATTTACTGGCTTATGTTAAGGTTTGGCCGTTAGTACTTGACCAAGGCCTTCTTGTGGACCCATTCTGTGTATAAATAACGTGCATTTTATGACTCTATGGTCTTAAAATATGTAACAGAGAAAGCAAAACAAGTTTAGTAAAATTCAACCGATTATTTCCATTAAATTATAAAGTGGAAATTTAAAATGAACTTAACATTCAATCCCGAACAATCCTGAACTTTTTATCACAATTCCAGAAGTATAGTGTTCCGAATAAATTTCAGTGGTGTTCCAAATAAATTCCAATCTTGAATATGCTGATGTACCAATAATCTTCATGTATCACACTGATATAATCCTGAATCTCCTTGAATACGTCCTCAATAATCCCCAAAACTGTTTAGTCCTAAAGGTAATGATCACTTTGTAATGGCAATGAATATATAATTATTTAAATACGAATCCTCTCAAATTGTATCTGAACCACATTAAACACATTTACAGACTGCAGTTGAAAAGGAATCAATAATCTTGTTGAGCTTAACCTTGTATACATCCACACTTAACCTGTCACAATAAGTTCCAGGATTGGCAATTGTCTTGATGGAAAATTAACCCAACCTGTAAAAAAGTTTGTTTCTAGTACATCTAAGGTCATATTCAAGACTAGTACTTAAAATTGCACACGTCTGTTTATAACGTACCATGTTTATAACATAAGACCAAAACAAGGGTGCAATAAAACCATTATCAGGGACAAAAATCGAGAACATGTTACACACAACATATGTACAACACCTCCCCTTCAAATATCGAGGACACGTTACACACCAAATATACACAACACCTCCCCTTACAAAAAAAGATTTACACAAAGCTTAAATTTATATACTTGTCATAAATATAATACTATTAATATAAATTGCTTTGGATGTGTTTGTGAACGTCAAATATGCATAAAGCAATATAGTGATTCGCTTGTACGCGTTTTAAGTACATGTATAATCAGCGCATCCTTTCTCTGAATGTCAGTGTTTTTATTCCTACATCAAAAACACTACCTCAACAATCTAGGATTTTTGTTTTTCATTGTGTTAATAAAAAAGTAAGGATTGTTTACACTGAATACAATAATCGGAAGAGGGGCTGAATTCAAAGCGAACATTACTTCTTGATTGTGGAATAGTTTCTCTGGTGCTTTAATAATTTTAAAAATTGAAAATAGCATACTAGATGATCTTGAATCGATACTCCAACAACCTCAACATCACTCGCATCAACAGCCGTTTAAAATGATTGAGATTTGGAGCTTAACGAACTGGTCTAATATTATTTATTTCTTTGTGGAAGATTTTTCTTTCGAAATGTCAAACTATCAGGCAATCTCATGGAGCTCGTCCATTTTAGCAGACTAACCGTTCCTGAGTAGAATTTGAAGCAGCAAAGTTTTCCACTTTAGATGACATTGCAAACGCTTGATGGTTTCACCAAAGATTTCTTAAATGTGAAACAAAATCTTTACCAGAGACGATGAAAAATGCAAAAAAAAACTTTAATTTAAAATTGCAAAAAACTTAAATTTGAAAAACTTTTTGAATAAATTTTAAATGTTTTAAAAAATTCAGCTCCATGGACTTAAACCACATAACAGAAAAAACAAGCTTAGTAAAGAAAAGTTTAGTAAAATTCGAGAAATAATTTATTTCCCCAGGATAACAAATTGAAAAGGGACTTCCAATATTGTATTTTTGTTGCTTTTTTCTGTTGAAGACTCGTGGGTATGCGAGAAAGCTTACCAGTAGCTTCTCGTGGGTCGGTGATTCTTTTCACGGATTTCCCGGTTTCTTCATCCACCATTAATACTGGCCACGATGCACAGCCTATCGTGTGCTGAAAAATGGCATTAAACCTCACCACCACCACCACAACTGTTGTGATCTGATGTATGTAATCGTTGATTATGTGATGCTTTGCATGATCCAGTAGCTGGTCTAGTTAAAGACTTTAGCTATAATTTGTTAATTTATGACAAGGAAGCAAGAGGATGGTCACATTTGGCACAGTACATGTCCAGTTGAAGAAACACGTTATATTTGTTATTTTCTAGGAAATTTTACAGTCGTGCAATTTGATAAGAGAACACTCATAAATACCACACAATTATGGTTTGGAATACGGAGATAAAGTGCAAAGATGCTTGTACAATAAGTCCGTGTGGAGGAAGCTAAGACATCTATAGATCTTTTACTTGCATGGATTGACAATTTGTTTGTCCCACCCAGTCACATTATCCTGACACCAGGCTGACCAGTCCTAACTCTTGCCTCTTAATAATGAGTTCCTAGCCAGGCATCTGCTAGTACCATTTTTTTAAATTGCTTTGGCATGATTCAACCTAATCGAACCCGTGATCACCCGCATCCGAGACGGACGCTCTAACCACTAGGCCACCTGAGCGGTATAGTTCAGAAAGTGAAAATGGCCATGCAGAGCTTATGAGGCTTATGAGATTCACGCGATAATTAAGGTCGAGTAACGGTGCTCACGAACCCAAAATAAATCAAATAAAGATAATTGGTTTGTTTATTTTTACACTCTTTCCATTAAACATCCACATTCCTTTCTTAGAACCTGAAATAACCAGAATACCAGTTTGGATAACCCAGAAAATATCTCCTCTTTACATTTTGAAGCATCCGTTGTGAACAAAAAAGGAACTAGGAGTGGAACCAGTACTAGAATTAGGTGTTATGGCATATTTTTCTCTCTTGATTTTTATCACGTATTGGATAGCATTCATTTAATATATACGTGTATTGTGGTTAGGCGAATGACTCGAAGATAAGATGAAGCCATGAAATTTAGTATGCGCATTCGTCACGAGAAGCATTACATAACCATATCGAAAGTATGTCAGCATGACCTATTTTTTCACACTGTTGAAGGCGCACATTTTATGTTCTGGTCAGCCATGAAACCTGATTTGCACACATCGTCAGGAAAATTACAATATTGTACCAAAACGGGTTACTGTGATAAACTTTTCATACAGTGACTATATATATATATATATATATATATATATATATATATATATATATATATATATATATATATATATATATATATATATATATATGTGTGTGTGTGTGTGTGTGTGTGTGATTTAGGTTTTTAACGTAGCTTTAACAATTTTTCAGTTATATTACTACAATATTTGCAGTATGGAAGTTTATAGTGATATCTAGCACTGGGGCATTATGTAGGAGACATGTAGCATGGTGTTCCACCCAGTCACATTATCCTGATACCATGTCGACCAGTGCTAATACTAACCTCTTAATGCTGAGTGGCAAGCGAGGCAGCTGTTATGTTAGTAAGATTTTTGTAAGTCTTTGGTATGACTCGGCCGGGGATCGAACTCACGACCCAGCGGACTCTCTAACCACTAGACCACAACCTCTACATGGCTGTCTCCACACGAGGTAAAACTATAAATACATTCAGCTTGTATAGACTTGTTTCGGATACTGAAAACTGTGTATAATTCCCTAATTCGGAAGATCAGGAAGGAAAAGGAATCATACTGGATACGCCGCCTTAGAACATTGAAACCAAGCGGCCTAAACCAAGAAAGAAAACTATGCACTAGTAGAATTTAACTTTTTCCAAATCTTCCTATTATCCTTCAATTTTTACTATAAGAATAACCGGTATAGAATCAAATATCCGGGATATAATCTGCGTTACATAAATGTACAAAAAAGTAAAAATAGATGTCGCTTTGGCTTGTAGACTGTTAGGGAATTATACAGTTTTCAGTATCCGCAACAAGTCTATAAAAGCTGGTTGTATTTATAGTTTTACTTCATTTGGAGACAGCCATGTAGAGGTTTACAAACACAACGTTTTTGTGTTTATTTGTTTTTCTTATATATGTTTTGTATTTGCCTTTGAAAAAGACTCATTAAGAGTCGAAAGCGCCCAGGCTAGTTAGTTACTAGTTTCGCACTGTTCGTCGTCAGTTTATTGCATCTATTTTAATCAATCCCTGACACGTGATACCTTGGTGTGGATCCAGTACGCTTGAAAGGGTTATTTGTTGTTCGCCATATGATTTGTATTTTATATATATATATATATATATATATATATATATATATATATATATATATATATATATATATATATATATATATATATATATATATATATATATATATATATATATATATATATATATGGTAGGTTTACTGTAATTCGAGAAACTATCTTTTTAATGTTTTAATGTTTCACGATGTTCACAAAACGTGATTTGTGCTTAAGCATGTTGTGGAACAAATTAATCAGACAGATTTCACTGAACTATTCATAAGTCATAAATTGTCATTTTTCTATCTGTCTTGGGATGATATGAAGCATGTTAATCTTCATCCATTGTAATTTTCCAGATGTTAACTAAATTCATTTTCAGGCGGCCCAATTGCAGGATAAGCTTGATGATAATGTATGAATGATGTTGATCGTGCAGAGGAGCAAAAAGGTTGCGTGTTGGAGAAAGTTTTTTGTTTGTAAACGCACAGTCTGGTGGGAGGAGTTTGAGATAATAATGAGCTAGTGATGTTGACCGTGCAGATGAGTAAGGTTGCGTGTTGGAGATAGGCATTTTTTTATACCTAAGGGCTGGAGGGATGAGGTTGTTAAGACTTGCGCCTAATCAGAGCTGAAGCTATAAATCTCTTTAACTACGGCTATTCTGAAAATCGACTAAGATAAAATTGCGCTTTCATGCCAACTTCTAAGTTAATAGTCAAATCGTAACTTTATACAAAGCCCAGTGTGCCAGTTTTGCCGATCAGGTCGGGAATGATTGACAAAAAAATTGGCCAATACATTTAACTATTGCTTGATCAAGCATTAACTTTAAAGAAATATCGAGTATGAGTAAACGAGGTTAAGTATTATGGTAAATAATTGGAGTTATGGAGTTATTGGATACATGTTCGAGTTATCCATGGTGTTCGAGCAAGAAAGTTATATATCTGGACTCGACTACATATAAAAAAAACTAATTAAAATATATTCAGTAATGACAGTACTAGCCCTGTGTAATCTGGTCACTTTTCATATCTATAAGATCTGTTCATTATATTCAACATAATAAATCCTTCATCAGATATGTTTTGGGTTAAAAATATAAATAAATTATGTGTGAAATATCTATTCGTTTTAATTTATCAAGAATTAGAACTGAATAAGTTTTGAAATAACAATGAAGAGGACGTCTTATCATATACAATGGTGAAACTTTAATTACAATATAAAAAGTAACTTTAACGTTCGCAGCATTGGAAAGAAATCAGAGTAGACAATCACTCATCACAACCATTAACTTTTCCTGATTTTGATGACTACGGACGATGAATACGTTTTAAATTAATTTCTTTATCAGTACTTAGACCTTTTCTTTTATTTTCAAGAAAATTATTTTCGAGTTCTGTAATTAGTAACGGAGAAAAAAATAAATATTTAAATTATTGAAAAAATATAAGGCAAACTGACGTTGTTTTACTCCAATTACATTTGATGTTTCTTGAGAAATTATTTTGATAAGATTCTATGTTTAGTTTCATACGCTTGAAATGCGTGTAGTGAATAAGATCAATAGGATATAATACTGAAATTATAAGAAATTTAAATTTTATTTAAATGTTTTTTTTAGTGTTTAAAAATTATCTAAATAACAATCTGAATAGCACCATATTCCATGTCATTTTATTTAACTTGCAACATAATTACATTTAATTTGTGTTTTTAGAGATCATTTAGACATTTTTAAAATCATTTTATTATATTTTTATAACATCATCAGATCATACGAATGTTATTGAGATTGTTCTGTTATCTGATATTAAATTTTTAAACTCAGATATCTCGAAATCCGAAACACCAGCTATGTTATGAAGTCTTTTTATTTCTTTTCTAAACGTCAGTTTCACTTACGTTGAAAGTGTTGGAATTATGGGTGAAAGTTGTATAGCTTTTGCTGGAAGTTTTCTGAGACACTGTCTAGCTTTTAAAAGGCTTTTCATTCGCGAGTTTTCTTTAGGTTATGAACAACTTTCGTCATTGTGGTATTACTACTCTATTGGAGCTACGTATTCTTTGTTGGTGTACGCCTACAGCAGTCACTATTTTAATTTGATTGGTTTACATCATTTTCGTTTGGTCGATTTTCAGATTTTTCAATGGACTGTTTTTTATTTTTATTTATTTTTACTCTGTGTGATTTACATATATCATGGTGTCACAACCAAACCAGTTTTTTTTAAATGTAGTTTTCTGTCTTATGCTATTTGTTAACGTCTTACCGCTACAGGAAATTGTAAACGTGTGGTATAGGTATCTAATTAATTAATTGAAGCCGGAAAAGCAAGGAATATTAATTAGCAAGTTTTGCTGCTTTATGAGAAAGTTTTGTTCGATTTAATGATTAGAGAGATTTTGAAATTTAAGATGAATCTATAAAAATTATATAGTGAGAAAACGGTCCATACTGCGTAACGTTCCAGGTGTGGTTATGATTTACATATAGCCTGGCTTGAGATTGGTTAATGCTATACTGTTGCTTTTTTTGTTTTTTATTTTATTTTTTTAAAATAAAGACTGACTGACAGTGGAAGATTTTTGGATCTGGACAAGCCGTCTGCCACCACGCCTTTTCTATCAAGTGCTCATTTTTATGCGCAAGTGTTGTGCTTTAAATGCCACTTTCAGCACACTACAGGCTATGTGAGGCAGCCATTATAACTGGTGGACTAAAAATCCAGGAAAGCCTTGTTGATAATGACCGACCCACGGGAAGCTTCGGGCAAACTTTCTCACATACCCATTTTAGCTGAGCCCGAGACTCGAGCCAGAGGTGAGACGGTCGTGATTGGTGGAGGCAAGCCATTTAGAACACTCGGTCACCCGGGGATCTAGTGCCCAACCCGTCGCTCTAATGCTCAAGTAAAAATATTTTGCGGATTAGCAGCGGAATTGAATTACTTGTCACTGGTGTACTTATGACTTACTGTAAGAAGACCTAAAACGAAATTTAGTGCAGACGTCATATATGTCCTATCATATTGCGTTCTGATTTAAACAGGTAATGTGTCGATATGAATTTAGAATGTTTCTAATTCAACCTTCCTCAATTTTACGCATCAAAAGACCAGAACATCGACTGTCATTCATATACCGTTTGCCCGATAGTAATGTTTAACTAGTCCATGGTTTGACTGATTATAATGTGACCTTGTTTCGACAACTGACAGCTTGTTATAACTTTGGATTTCAATTTATAGTAGGAAAGAAATATTCATCTGAAATACCATTTCAAGTCAAAAGATGGTACCTCTCGTATTATATTGAACTTTTTGAAGCAATTAATCATCCTTGAAGTTTATTTACTC